CAAAGTCTATTTTCACCTAACAATTACATTTAGAGAAAAATATATAAAATAATAATTGAATATATATCCTCAAGTGTATGGCTGTTTAATTATAAAATACTCCCCCAGTTCTTAATATAGAAGCTAATTAGGGAGTTAATGTTGGTTCTTTATATAAAACCTATTTCACACGTTCATCAATTTTTTTTTTTCAAATTAACCCCATTAATATTCTCCTAACAATAACAAACAGAAGAGGAAAAAGGAAAATTAAGGAAGATGTTTAGGGTGTTTTTAAAAAAAAATCATATTATCTAATTTAACCAACATTCTTAATCTACTTAAATTAGTTAATTTTGTTTTATATTAAAGACGAGAGAGAGAAGTACACGCTAATCAGTAGGCGAACTCACTAGCTACATATCGAAAGCTCATTTGGTATTGCTTTGATTTGAAAAAGAAAAAGGAGTTTAACAGTTTGAGAGCCCAAAAAATTAAGGGATATCTATAAGAAAAAACAATGTAAGAAAGATATCTATATGATTAAATAATAATTCAAAAAGTACTTTTTTAAATAAAGATATTAATTAAAAATAATTGTTAAGAGGGCACGCAAAGAATATTATAAAGACAATCATGACAAAACAAATTCAGCAAAGCTGCTTTTATCTTAAAAGAAATTAACGAAACCAGTTTTGATACTCATCACGGTGATGAATACCATGAAATTTGCACTGCGGTGAAATCTACATAATTAAGGTAGAGTTTTAGTAGGTGATATTTAAAATTTTTAACTAATAATTTTAAATAAAAAATATTTTTTTTGAGAAAAACTTGCCGTTAAAAGATCACCTTTACTTTGTATAATCTGCCTAGTAAAAAAACATTTTTTAAAAAAATAACAAATTAAATCTCAGCTGTTTATATTTAATTAAAAAAATTGAGATTTAATGAGTATCGTGATACTTATTACTGTGATCATGATCGAAGTTAGTTCAGACTTGTAAGTTGGTATTGATGGCGTTTACGTGCAATTTGTAACCCAAACTTTTCTATACAAGGACGCGCCTAAACCTCCTTCCTTGCTCATCAAATCTTGTTTGTGATTTATCCCTGCTATTATTCCTCAAACATGCTTCCTCATCATTCCCTCTCTTTCTCTTTCACTCTTATTATTCTCTTTCTCTCAGCCATTTCGATTAATGTCTCTCCAACAAATAATAAGCTCCCAAAAGGTTTCAGCATCGACCTCATTCATCGTGACTCACCATTATCTCCCTTCTACAACTCCTCAATGACCGACTCGGAGCGAGTTCAAAACGCTGTGTGCTCCATGTCTCGAGCGAATTGCTTTGGCCAGTCTTCCATTGCTGAGTCAGTAGAAACTGATATACTCCCAAACGATGCAAGTTACCTGATGAAGATATCTATTGGCACTCCACCCGTAGAGAGATGGGCACTTGGAGACACAGGAAGCGACCTTATTTGGTTCCAATGCAAGCCTTGCTCCCAACCTCAGTGCTACAGCCAAAAGGCACCGCTCTTTGATCCAAGAAATTCTTCCACGTATATGTATCTGTCATGTCGATCACTCCCTTGTAAAGCTCTTCCCCGTCACTACGTGCCAGGCCAAACGTGTCCTCGATGTGCATCAGCCAATGTGTGAACGTATTTTTATCCTTATGGGGATGACTCATACACAATGGGAGAACTGGCCACAGAATCAGTTAGTTTCGGCCGAAATGTTTTGTTTCCTAAGACGGCATTTGGCTGTGGACACAACAACAATGGACTATACAACGAGAACAACGCAGGACTTGTTGGGCTTGGTCAAAGGAATTTGTCTTTAATTAGTTTCACAAATGGGTAAAGTAGGTCGCAAATTCTCGGATTGTCTGCCTCCTTACGGTCTAAAGACTACGACTAAACTAAGGTTCGGGGAAGAAGCCACCATATCAGGAAATGGGCTTGTGTCCACTCCATTGATCACCAAAAATGGCCCCATGTCGTTGTTTTACTTCCTCAACCTTGAAGGTACTAGCTAGCTAGTGTTATGTTTTAATTTGAGGTTGTTTTGTTTATTTTCATCTCAAGTTAGTTTTATCTTCTGATTTATGCAGTTCGATTTTATACGACTCTTTGATCCCTGGCTTAAATTGTTCGTGTGAAATGGTTGTTGATAGGTATCACTGTTGGACAACAGACAGTGCAGACTGGTCAAAGCAATGGGAACATAATAATTGACTCTGGGACGACATTGACAATGCTTCCATCAAGCTTTTATGACCAGGTTGAAGCTTTGGTGAAGCAAGCCATAGGAGCCGATGAATTCATAGTTCAGAACAATGAATACAAATTGTGTTACAGAAATGCTAAGTACCAGGAATACACACATTAGTTATACGCTTGATGAATAATATACTTGGCTGACATAGCTCAAGTGAAATATATGGCATTGTAAACCCCCCCCCCCACACACACACATAGTGCTTTCCGAAGTATCTAATAAGTGAGAACGTCTGTAATCATGAATTAGCATTTAAGAATATCAAAGAAGACTTGAAAAACGTAACTAAATTAAATGACAAGACGAAGAGTGTGTAATACTCGTCATTGTATAATGTGATATCAAGTATATTTTTGACAAATAACTAATTTAACCAATTTTTTATAAAAAATTTAAGTCAAATTCTTTATATCCATTATGTCAAGTTCTTCAATCATACATGACCATGTGTCCTTTTTTCCTATTTATAATTAAATGCTATTGAATGTTAATATTTCAAAAGTATATGACATGTGATATGTGATTAGAGAACTTGACATAATGGACATAAAGAACTTGATACAAGTATTATCCATTTTTTAATATATCCAAATTAGTTAAGTAGATCTTGTATTAATTAAGGATAGGAGGTAGTATTTTTTTCCATTTTAGTTACAGCTTGATGCATGTTGATCATGTACTCCTATTGTCCTATTTATAAGGCATAAAGAGAAAAGTTTTTTATCTTATTTCTAAGTCATTTTATTAAATTTTTAGCATAAATGTTCTATTTATTCTTAATTTATTATAGTATAGATAATTATTGTTTTTCAAAGGTGTATATATTAAATAAGAATAAAATTGAAAAATTGTTATATTTTAATGAAGAGTTAATACAATTTAAAGTTTTCTTTGATCAGTATGAAACATGTTAGAAGTGCGTTATAAATAGGACTAGAAAAGTATAAATTAATAATCTTTAAATATTTTGTACTAAATAAACGACATGAATGTATAGTGGAAATTATTGCAGTGACATTATATATTTGTGTGCGCGCGAGCGTGCGTGTATTATATGAATCTTTATTTTGCGATGAGAATGATGTAAGCGAAATTATGCTTGACTAGGTTTCGCTAGGTTGGACAATAAATAGTCAAGACTCAAGTGAAATGACTTGAAATGTAAAAATAACATAACTAAGGCAGCTTAAAATACGACTGTATGGTTTTACATAGACCCTTTTAATATATTTTATGCAGACTAAGAAAATATTTAAACTGCATTAACTCTCTTTTAAAATATAACCTTTTAATTTTACCCCTATTTAATATATACACCTTTCTAAAAAAAAATCTACATTATAAATATGAAGAACAAAATAGTAGATTCATACTAAAAATTTAATTAAGTGATTTATGAATAAGACTAAAAAACAATCTTTTCTCTTTGCCTTATAAATAAGACTAGAGGAGTATAAATTACAATCACATTGTGAATGTGCTCCACTAAACTCACATGCATATCTAAACAATTTTGAAAACAAGACGATCCGGCCGGTTCCTTCATGTGGAGGAAACTATTCACAATTCTGCATAGAATTTGTTTGGATTCTCAAAAGCCAATTAAAAAAAAGATCAAAAGGTAATTTTGAGGCGAAATATTAAACCTGAAGTCACATTTTTGGGTTACAAAAACCAAATACGTATTCAAACTGACTTTTTACGAAAACATAAATTACATTCCACACTAATTGGCTTTTGCCTTGTTATTGACTTTGCAAACCAAATGCTATGGAGTTAGAGTAAAATTAAAGTCAATTTTGCAAACTTTAATCCAAACAAGCGCAGTGGCTTTATTTCCAAGTCCAAGCGGATAATGTCCATGAACTGGCATCACCCCTCGCATGACATGTCTGTAAAGTGATCTTATTGAATGTTGGCAACATAGAATTCCAACGTTATTAACAGAGAAAGTGAGAGCCCAGGTTGGAATTTTCAGCTATGCCATCCAACAAATAGAGTTATGGGACCATTGGTCTGTGAAAAATAAAGTAAGCTTTGGAACGACGTCGGAATAATCAAGACTCAAGTTTCATGCAGGCAAGGCAAGTGAAATGATTTGAACTATAAAATAGTGACATGACAAATAATCTTTCCAACCTTAAATATAAAATCTATATAACTAACTTATAGATACTAAGCAATATTTAATTAAACTTGTTATTTGTAATAAATATGTATTACTTATTCTAAAATACCCCGCTATTTAATACTACCTCCAGTTCTTAATACACGAGTTAATCAAAAATTCAATTTGGTTTTAAATATAATACCTTAATCTATTTTAATTTATCTCTAATTTATTCATTTTCCCTCCAAATACTCCCTATACTGATTGTGCGTGTTAAGAGGTTTTTGTTAAGCAGCTCCCATACAGCGTACATGATTAACAATGGTACAACATTTTTTTTACCACAGTTAACTATCTTAACTATTTTTCTTAATTTTGAATTTTGAAGAAATTGCTGAAGAGCATTGGTGGAACGCAAGTTATTATAAATGGCATGCCAAACAGCTTGCGTTGGATGCACCAAATCCCAGAAAAAAAGCCGACTTAGGATCGTCGCACACTCTGTATTTCTTGGCCATGGTCTTGTCGTCCACGCTTCCACAATCGTACTGCCTGCCCATCCCAACGCAACAAGGCCTGAACGGGTTCTTTATGTTATAAGGGGAGGGATGGTTCAATACGGACATGACATTGTCGAAGAGGCCTAAAACGACAAAGCTGGAATTGTCGTTGGCTTCTTCCCTTCAATTTGGCCAGACCTTGGCTCAGGAGGGTGTTGTGGTGATTGGCGAAGGTGTTATGAGTAGAATCGCGCAGCGAAAAAAAGGATGAAGCTCTCCTTTTCAGGAGGCAGCCTACAGCTGGTTGAAGACCACTCACTCCAATTTTCTTCACAAAATTATATATATTTTCCATATGTGTCCTTTTTCATTGGTGTTGAGTTAACACCAAATTTTAAGAGAGAAAGCGAGAGCCTAGGTTGGAATTTTCAGCCGTGGCATCCAACAAATTGAGTTGTGGGGCCATTGGACTGTGGAAAATAAGTTAAGCTTTGGAACGATTTGAAATGTAAAATAATGACATGACAAATACTCTCTCCAACCTTAAATATAAAATCTATATAACTAATTTATAGATACTAAGCAATATTTAGTCAAACTAGTTATTTGTAATAAATGTGTGTTACTTATATCCTAAAATACCCCCTTATTTAATACCACATCCGATTCTTAATATAAGAGTTAATTAAAATTTTAATTTGGTCCTAAATATAAAATCTCAATCTATTTTAATTTATCTTCAATATTTATCTATTTTTCTCTAAGTAGTCTCTATAATGATAGTGTATGTTAAGAGGTTTTCATTAACCAACTCCACCATAGCGCACATGATTAACAATGACACAATATTTTTTTATTAAAGCCAACTATCTTAACTATTTTTCTTAATTTTGAAGAAGTTGTTGAAGAGCATTGGCAGAACGCAAGTTATTATAAATGGCATGCCAACCACCTTGCGTTGGATGGCCCAAATTCCAGAAAAAAGCCGACTTAGGATTGTCGCACGCTTTTGTATTTCTTGGCCATGGTCTTGTCGTCCACGCTTCCACAATCGTACTGCCTGCCCATCCCAACGCAACAAGGCCTGAACGGGTTCTTTGTGTTATAAGGGGAGGGATGGTTCAGTACGGACGTGAAATTGTCGAAGAGGCCTAAAACGACAAAGCTGGAATTGTCATTGGCTTCTTCCCTTCAATTTGGCCAGACCTTGGCTCAGGAGGGTGTTGTGGTGATTGGCGAAGGTGTTATGAGTAGAGTTGCGCAGCGAAAATAAGGATGACGCTCTCTTTTTCAGGAGGCAGCCTGCAGCTGGTTGAAGACCACTCACTGCAATTTTCTTCACAAAATTATATATATATTTTCCATATGTGTCCTTTTTCATTGGTGTTGAGTTAACACCAAATTTTAAGAGAGAGAGCGAGAGCCTAGGTTGGAATTTTCAGCCGTGGCATCCAACAAATTGAGTTGTGGGGCCATTGGACTGTGGAAAATAAGTTAAGCTTTGGAACGATTTGAAATGTAAAATAATGACATGACAAATACTCTCTCCAACCTTAAATATAAAATCTATATAACTAATTTATAGATACTAAGCAATATTTAGTCAAACTAGTTATTTGTAATAAATGTGTGTTACTTATATCCTAAAATACTCCCTTATTTAATACTACATCCGATTCTTAATATAAGAGTTAATTAAAATTTTAATTTGGTCCTAAATATAAAATCTCAATCTATTTTAATTTATCTTCAATATTTATCTATTTTTCTCTAAGTAGTCTCTATACTGATAGTGTATGTTAAGAGGTTTTCATTAGAGCCGGGAAAACGGGCCAAGCCCATCGGGCCGGCCCGTTTAGGCCCTGAAATTACGAGGGCCGGGCTTGATATTTTTCTCTTAAAATGAGAAACAAGCCCTGGAGGGCTGGCCCTGGAGGGCCGAGGGTTTAAAAGGGCCGGCCCTGGAGGGCCGCGGGCCGGCCCTTTTAAGCCCTTTTATAATTTTTTTATTTTTTAAATTTTTTTATATAATATTAATGTTATTAATTTTTTATATTGTTAATAATATTTCAAATATTTAGTTATTATTATCATTTTAAAATTAAATTTAGTTTTAGACAATAATTTATCCAATTAAATTTTTAAAAAATCGGTTAATTTAGACTTTAATAATGATTTGATTTATATTATATGCGTTGATATTTTTAAACTATATATATATATTTGATAATAGAATATTTTTATACTTATATAACTTGTGATTCTATAATTTGAATTAGAAATTCATGAGTTTCAACAACAATGTTTCTCACATTAAAGTAAAATAATAGTTAGATTGCAAAATTCAAAAATAAAATTCTTATAAAGAAGAAAAACTTGATATTTTTGTTACGAAAGAAAAGCATACTTATGAAGAAAAGTAATTAATTATAGTGATGATGAAGTTTCAAAAGATTAATGATAGTGTTTATTTATTGCACAATTGCATTATAGATAAAACTTTTAGATATTGTTATCTTGTTAATGAATGTTTTAGATGTTCTTAGATGTTGATAAATATTTATATATGATGATATTTTATATTTGTGACTTAATTTTATTCATATTTATGTCTTTTATTAATAATTTCATTGGTTTATTTTTATATTTTTATAAAAAAATTTGATAAATATAAAAAAATAGTATTTTTCCTTAAACGGGCCAAAAGCCCGCGGGCCGGCCCTGGCCCTGTAGCTTAAGGGCCGGGCTTAGCAAATTGGGGTATTTTTAAAATTTCAGCCCTGGAGGGCCGGCCCTTTTAAGCCCGCCAGCCCTGAAGGGCCGGCCCTGGAGGGCCGGGCCGGCCCTGATTCCCGGCTCTAGTTTTCATTAACCAACTCCACCATAGCGCACATGATCAACAATGATACAATATTTTTTTATTAAAGCCAACTATCTTAACTATTTTTCTTAATTTTGAAGAAGTTGTTGAAGAGCATTGGCAGAACGCAAGTTATTATAAATGGCATGCCAACCACCTTGCGTTGGATGGCCCAAATTCCAGAAAAAAGCCGACTTAGGATTGTCGCACGCTTTTGTATTTCTTGGCCATGGTCTTGTCGTCCACGCTTCCACAATCGTACTGCCTGTCCATCCCAACGCAACAAGGCCTGAACGGGTTCTTTGTGTTATAAGGGGAGGGATGGTTCAGTACGGACGTGAAATTGTCGAAGAGGCCTAAAACGACAAAGCTGGAATTACCGTTGGCTTCTTCCCTTCAATTTGGCCAGACCTTGGCTCAGGAGGGTGTTGTGGTGATTGGCGAAGGTGTTATGAGTAGAGTTGCGCAGCGAAAATAAGGATGACGCTCTCTTTTTCAGGAGGCAGCCTGCAGCTGGTTGAAGACCACTCACTGCAATTTTCTTCACAAAATTTTATATACTTTTTCCATGTGTCCTTTTTCATTGGTGTTGAGTTAACACCAAATTTTAAGAGAGAAAGCGAGAGCCTAGGTTGGAATTTTCAGTCGTGGCATCCAACAAATTGAGTTGTGGGGCCATTGGACTGTGGAAAATAAGTTAAGCTTTGGAACGATTTGAAATGTAAAATAATGACATGACAAATACTCTCTCCAACCTTAAATATAAAATCTATATAACTAATTTATAGATACTAAGCAATATTTAGTTAAATTAGTTATTTGTAATAAATGTATGTTACTTGTATCCTAAAATATCCCCTTATTTAATGCTACATCCGGTTCTTAATAAAAGAGTTAATTGAAAATTCAATTTGGTTCTAAATATAAAACCCCAATCTATTTTAATTTGTCTTCAATATTTATCTATTTTTCTCTAAGTAGTCTCTATAATGATTGTGTATGTTAAGAGGTTTTCATTAACCAACTCCAACATAGCGAACATGATTAACAATGATACAATATTTTTTTATTAAAGCCAACTATCTTAACTATTTTTCTTAATTTTGAAGAAGTTGTTGAAGAGCATTGGCAGAACGCAAGTTATTATAAATGGCATGCCAACCACCTTGCGTTGGATGGCCCAAATTCCAGAAAAAAGCCGACTTAGGATTGTCGCACGCTTTTGTATTTCTTGGCCATGGTCTTGTCGTCCACGCTTCCACAATCGTACTGCCTGCCCATCCCAACGCAACAAGGCCTGAACGGGTTCTTTATGTTATAGATGGAGGGATGGTTCAGTACGGACATGAAACTGTCGAAGAGGTCTAAAATGACAAAGCTGGAATTGTCGTTGGCTTCTTCCCTTCAGTTTGGCCAGACCATGGCTTAAGAGGGTGTTGTGGTGATTGGCGAAGGTGTTATGAGTAAAGTTGCACAGCAAAAATGAGGATGAAGCTGTCGTTTTCAGGAGGCAGCCTACAGCTGCTTGAAGACCACTCAATGCAATTTTCTTCACAAAACTTCATATTTTTCCATGTCTGTCTTTTTTTCATTAGTGTTGAGTCAGCACAAATCTTTAAGAGAGAAAGTGAGGGCCTAGGTTGGAATTTTCAGATTTTCAGTCATGCCATCCAACAATTGAGTTATGGGGCCATTGGACTGTGGAAAATGAGTTAAGCTTTGGAACGAAGTCGGAATATTCAAGACTCAAGTTCCGTGCAGGCAAGGCAAGTGAAATGATTTGAAGTGTAAAATAATGACATGGCAAATAATCTCTCCAACCTTAAATATAAAATCTATATAACTATTTTATAGATATTAAGCAATATTTAGTTAAACTAGTTATTTGTGTGTGTTACTTATTCTAAAATACCCCCTTATTTAATACCACCTTTGATCCTTAATATAAGAGTTAATCAAAAATTCAATTTAGTCTTAAATATAAGACCCCGATCTATTTTAATTTTTCTTTAATATTTATTTATTTTTCTTCAAGTAGTCCCTATACGGATTGTGTATGTTAAGAGGTTTCCATTCAGTGACTCCCAGCGCACATGATTAACAATGATACAGTATTTCTTTATTATGGCTAACTATCTTAACTATTTTTCTTAATTTTTATAAATTAGTAATCTAACTCTTATATTAATGATTGAAGATAGTACTTACATTGTGTAATACTCTCTTGATGGAAAATCCTTTGACATGCATAATTATTAGGTAGAGTTTAGGAAAAATGTTATAAATTTAAGAGGCAAAGAGAATTGGAGTCTTATATTTAAAATCAAAATAAATTCTCCTACTGGGTTTTATATTCAAGACGGAAGATATAGTTTGCTGGGCACTCTCCAAGATGGTGACAACTCATTTTATTGCAGACAATTTTTTTTTATTAAGGAGTCTAGCAGTTCCAGAAGAAAAACAATTAAGGGAGCTTCATTAAAAAAAACTACGTAATTAATTAAGCATGAAAATATAATCACTTTACAAACAACTCAAACTTTTCTATATAAAGAAGCACCTCAACCTCCTTCCTTGCTCATCAAATCTGCTCAGTTTTATTCTTAGCTTCAAACATGCTTTCTCATCATTCCCTCTCTTTCTCTTTCACTCTTATTATTCTCTTTCGCTCAGACTTTTCCATTAATGTCTCTGCAACAAATACTAAGCTCCCAAAAGGTTTCAGCATCGACCTCATTCATCGCGATTCACCATTATCTCCCTTCTACAACTCCTCAATGACCGACTCGGGGCGAGTCCAAAACGCTGTGTTGCGCTCCATGTCTCGAGCCAATCGCTTTGGCCAGTCTTCCATGGCTCAAGCAAGTGAGTTAGTAGAAACTGATATACTCCCAAACGATGGAAATTACCTGATGAAGATATTTATTGGCACTCCACCCGTAAGGAGATGGGCAGTTGCAGACACAGGAAGCAACCTTATTTGGTTCCAATGCAAACCTTGTCCCCAACCTCAGTGCTACCGCCAAAAGGCACCGCTCTTTGATCCAAGAAGTTCTTCCACGTATATGTCTCTGTCATGTCGATCACTCCCTTGTAAAGCTCTGCCCCGTCTCTACGTGCAAGGCCAAACATATCCTCGATGTGGATTATCCAATGTGTGTACCTATTTTCTTTCTTATGCGGATAACTCATACACAATGGGAGAGAACTGGCCACAGAATCAGTTAGTTTCGGCCGAAATGTTTTGTTTCCCAAGACGGTGTTTGGGTGTGGACACAACGACAATGGACTATTCAACAAGAATACCGCAGGACTTGTTGGGCTTGGTCAAGGGAGTTTGTCGTTAGTTTCACAAATGGGTAAAGTAGGTCGCAAATTCTCGTATTGTCTGCCTCCTTACAGTCTAAAGACCAAAACTAAACTAAGGTTCGGGGAAGAAGCCACCATATCAGGAAATGGGCTTGTGTCCACTCCATTGATCACCAAAAATGGTCCCATATCGTTGCTTTACTTCCTCAACCTTGAAGGTACTAGCTAGCTAGTGTTGTGTTTTAATTTGAGGTTGTTTCATTTATTTTCATCTCAAGTTAGTTTTATCTTCTGATTTATGGAGTTCGATTTTATACGACTCTTTGATCCCTGGCTTAAATTGTTCGTGTGAAATGGTTGTTGATAGGTATCACTGTTGGACAACAGACAGTGCAGACTGGTCAAAGCAATGGGAACATAATAATTGACTCTGGGACGACATTGATGATGCTTCCATCAAGCTTTTATGACCGGGTTGAAGCTTTGGTGAAGCAAGCCATTGGAGCTGACCAATTCATAGTTCAGAACAATGAACTCAAATTGTGTTACAGAAATGCTAACTCTATTATCCAGAATATTCCGAATTTTGAGGTTCATTTTACGGGAGCCAACCTTTCATTACAACCTCAGAACTTTTTCCTTCCCGTATCCAACGATGTTATATGCTTCGCAATGCTTCCTACAAATGGACCGCCCATTTACGGAAATGTGGCTCAAACTGATTTTGAGGTGGAGCATGATCTTGATCAGAAAAAAGTTTCTTTTGCTCCTGCCGATTGCACTAAACAGTAGAGATTCTATGACTTGGTTTGGTTGAAAAAATAATAGAAAAAGGAAAATATAGAGGGAGAGATAATACTATGAATAAAAACTCTCTAATTTTTCATCTCATCCAAACTAAGTACAAGTAATATAGTTATACGCTTGATGAATAATATACTTGGCTGATATAGCTCAAGTGAAACATAGGCATTGTAAACCCTCTCTTTCTCTCTCTATATGTATACACATATATGTATGCGCATGTATATCGTGCTTTTGGAAGTATCTAAGTGAAAATGTCTGTAATTATGAATTAGTATTTGAGAATATAAATGAAGACTTAAAACACGTAATTGCATTAAATGACAAGACGGAAGAGTATGTAATACTTGTCATTTTATAATGTGATACCGTTAATTTAAGTAAAAGAAACACATATTTTTAACAATATTTAACTAATTTCTTTAGAAAAAACTTAGGTCAAGTTCCTTATATTTATTATGTCAAGTTCTTCAATTATAAATGACTATGTGTCCTTTTTTGTTTATAATGAAACACTAATGCTAATATGTAAAAAATATATGACACACGATCATGTGTGATTGATGAACTTGACATAATGGATATAAGAAACTTGATGTAAGTATTGTCATTTTTTTAATCTATCCAAATTAATTAAGTAGATCTTGTATTAATTAAGGATGAGAGGTAGTATTTTTTTTTTTTAAGTTTATAGCTTGCCGAACGTTTATCATGTCTAAATTAATAAGCTTCAAATATTTTCTACTAAACAAACAACATGAATGTATAATAGAAATTATTGCAATGATATTATACATGAATCTTTAGTTTGCGATGTGAAGGATTAAGTGAAATGGTGGTTGACTAGGTTGACGTCGCAAATAATTAGGACTCAAGTATAATGACATGAAATGTAAAAATGACGTAACAAAGACGGCTTAAAATGCTACCGTATGGTCCTATTTATATGGCACTTTTAATATATTTTATATAGATTAAGAAAAAACTTTAAACTGCATTAATTTTCCTTTAAAATATAACAACTTTCTAATCTTACTCCTATTTAATATATAACTTTTTTAAAAAAATCACATACATTGTAATAAATAAAGAACAAAATAATAAATTTTTAACATCTTAAGTTTATTTAGGTTTTAGAGTTAGTTAGTTAATATATATATATATATATATATGTGTGTGTGTGTGCGTGTGTGTGTGTGCGTGAATTACATATATATGTATAATTAGAAAGTGTCGATTTTCTTTTATTATTTAAAAGGTATCAAAAAAGAAGAAGAAGAAGAAGAAGAAGAAGAAAAATTAAATTGGAAAAGATAAGTTTGTTACGTGTAGTTATGGTTAAATACATATAATCATAATAATTATATGAAAAAAAGGTTTAAAACGGTTTTACATATATATATATATATATATATATATATAAATGGTTTTTACGCTCGCGCGCAGACGCACATATATATAAATCAAACATCTTGATATCTTTGATGTTAGTTTGAACAGCAATTTAATTAGGAAAAATAAATAATAATAATAATATAAAATAGATTGAAATTCAAAATTTGAATCTGTTATATGAATTTTAATAAAATATATATTTATAATTATATATTTATAAAAAATTTTGATTGATTCTGGCAGATTTCATTTAAGTTGGTTATCTGCTTAAGTTTAATGAGATTTCAATAATAATATCAATAAGGTAAAACAATTAATTAATTAATTAAATGAAGATTTATTAATTTTAAAAATATAATAACGCAACACTACTTTCTACCTACTCATTCTTTATCTCTTAGCCACCACTTAGTTTCTTCTTTAGCTTTTTCACTGCCATAGATTTGTGTTTTCAGAAAGCATTACTCCTTCTACTCTAAACATTCCATCTCCATAAATCAAAATAGATTCAAGATAAACTTTTCCATTCTTGTTTCTCTTCTCTTTTTATATTACCTTTTTCATAATTCTTCTTTACCCCATTCTTTTCATCCTTTCTCCTTAGTCCACTGTAGGCCTTCTCATCACCATCATGTCCAAGACATACATATATTTGTTAAGGTGTGTACCTACTTTTCTTTTCCTTTTTCGTCTATCTCTCCTTTCTCACATTTGACAACTACTATTCATGAATACACACATATACATTAATAGGAAAAGGGATGAGAATGATTTGACACCATTGACTATTGTGTTAAGACCTAATGTTTTCCTTCATTTAGCCGTCTTTTTCCCTTGCTCTCTTCCTTGTATCATGTGTTTTTGTTTCAGATTCTGCCTCTTCGCAAGACGATGTACATATATATGCCTGATAGAAATATGAATAAATATATGTGCCTCTGTATATATATATATATTATCATCATTTACTCTGTTTTTGGTGTCCCTCCCCTCTAGTCATAGGTGTTTATACTCGTGTGTGTGTACACAAGACTTTCAGCAACATAGATAAAACAAAATTTACCGCCGTTAGATGGGATAAAGGCTTAAAGGAAAATATATATATATATATATATATATATATTAAGGACGCATAAGTGGTAGGAATCGGTGGAGTTTTTCAATTCTTAGTTGAGTGTTTCCTTAAATCATTTATATATAGAATTATATATATATATTCACATAATAGGTTAAAATAAATAAATAATGGGAAATTGTGTAAACCAAATATATGCATGAAATTGATGGGTAGTTATGGATAACTATGAATTTAAAAGGTCTCTTGACAGCTTTAAAATAATATTTGAAATCAATAATATGTAAGCGATTTGTGATCAGAAAAATTTAAGAAGACTTAGTTATGGGCCTGTGGCGTGGATTTAAAACATAAACAGCTTTTAGAAGAGGGAAAAAAAATCTTAGAGTAGTTTTATTAATATAAACTTGAATAGGTCAAATTATAATTTGACTTGAAGTTTGTGTAATTTTTTAGACTCTCACTGAGAGCCTTATTGCTTGGAATTTTGTTTCACTATTGACAAGCAAAAAAAGTCAGGTAACTTGGGGTTTTTTCTATGTGTATGCGATCTTTATCCATCATGATTAAATTTGTATTGACTCTATCGATTTAATTGGTACAAATAAATAGATAAGACTAAAAAGATAAAAGAATAAAATTGTATTATCTTTTATGTTATTTGAATTTTCCTTTAAGCATGAATGCATCTTGGTTATCTTCGTGAAAATTTATGGTAATTCGTTTTCTTTCAAGCATGCTTGCATATACTGGATTTGTTATATATCCATGACATGCATAGGCGGTTGGACTTGGGAGTTTATGATATTGATATATGTGACAAATTGTGACCACGTGGTTTGCCTTCACTTAGCGCAAAGTGGTTGGCCTTTTTAGGGCCCCGTTCCTTAATACTTACCTAGCCTGGTTTGTAGAGGGGGAACGCGGGACAGTGACACGTCTTGGTTCTTTTAAGGAGGGGAGCCATAGTCAGGCTTGGGCTTTGTATCTTTGGTCAGATACATCCTAAGTACTGGAGTAGCTTTGTTTAGTCCAGTGTGTGGGCCAGACCGTGTATAAGCCTATGGTTCTAGTCAGCAGAATAAGGTTGGATGCAGTAATAAGAGAGGAAGCATCCATTGCATATGAACATGGTATATTATTAAATTAGTTACATATTTTGCTAATGATTATTTAAGCTGTTGCAATATTTATTAATTCCTTGAATAGATAGATTTTACCACTTTATTTCAAGTTTTATCCATGGTTTATGTTATGTTAGACTTTGAGACTACAAGTTTGGATATTTATGCTCGAATTATATTATGGGTTTAATTGCTCATGTTTATTTGTAGTGGTTAAAAGGTTGAGTCTTTCAGTGTAAACTTTATTATTGAGACCTTAAGATTAAACTAGTTTTTACATGGTGTTTCAAGTAGCTTAGAAAATTGGGTGTTACAACATTCATGCTAAAAATTTAATTGAGTTATGAATAAAACTAAAAAAAATCTTTTGTCTTTCCCATATAAAGAGTGCCAAATGAGTATAAATTATCATCACCTTTTGAATGTGTTCCACTAAACTCTCAAGCATGTTAATGGCAGTCTCACCCAAGAGGGGGGTGAATTGGGTGAGTACAAAAATTTTGCGAGATTAAAATAATGTACTATTGGAAACAAAGAGTGTGAGTTAGAGAGATTTCACTGTAGAAAAGTATACACAGGATTTATACAGGTTCGGTCTCAACCACTTGACCTACGTCCAGTCCTCAGAACACCTCTGAGTATTCCACTATGTTCCAAGATTGATCGGGCTCTTAGCGCCTCAGTACAGTAATTGATTCTCTCAATCATTCCCCTTTACTTCCCATAAGGTTACAATCCCACTCAAGAGTCCACACTCTTGAGTTTCACACAAACCGTAATTAATGAAGAAGGGTAGAAACTCTCTTACAGAGTAAATAAATGATAATCACTGAAGTTCGATATATGAAGGAACAGAGTATTGAATATAACAATAAATGATCAGCAGAGGGTAGTTCGCACATTCAATCTGTTCATTTAATGCTTCTTCGCGCCTTTTATAGTTGAGGTAGTTTAGTAACCATTAGACGTAAGAGCTTCTAGCCGTTGAGAGTCCGGTTGCGTGTTTTTCCAGTTGCAACGGTTTTCCGCCATTAATGCTTCTGACAAGGTAGGTTACAGGCTATTTGGATAACCGTTGGAGAGCCGTTAGGTTTTCCTTCATAATCTACAATAATACATTGATTCAATAAGTTTTTCTTTGCAGAGTAAGATCAAAGGCAGAACCGAACAAATGATAAAATGAGCATTCTTAGTTTATAGGTAGAATCGATCAGTTGTTAAATGTGCTAAGTAATAACTGATCGTGCTTGTTCGAAGTAATGATCAATTATTGCTTGATCGAACAGGTTATCGATTATTCAAAGTAAGAGCTTTTGAAACAAATAACTAAGTTTATCGATCAAGTGATGGATTAATGATTTATCGATTAAGTGATCGATAAAATGACACAGTGACTTCATACTGGTATGCAATGAAAAAGAAGATCAAGGTCACTTTTTGATTTTGAATCTCTTAAAAAGAGAATTAAGATGAACATGAAGGCTAAAAAAAGCTTAAATGACATAGATGATAAATTTTGAGAAACATCGTGACTGGTTGAAGAAAAACAGAAGAACATTCCATGATCGAACAAGTGATCGAACACTTGTTGATCGATCAAGTTATCGATAAACAAAGTGTTATAGAACAGGATTTAAAGCAATGATTTTCCGAACACATTATCGATAAACAAATTATGGATAATCTTATCAATAAACATTAAGCAAAAGTATATTTAGTGAAAACGCAGGCTATGTGGGTTAATCGAATAGGTGATCGATTAATGAATGATCAATCAAGTGATCGATAAAATAGAACATAGAGACTTAATCCTACGGAGTCAAAGAACTAATTTATCGATCACGTTATGTGAAAAACAAGGCAAACATGAAGTGCGATAATCGATCATATTATCGATAATGTGATTATTGATCCGGTGATCGAAGAACCATGATTTAAAAGTGATATGCTGATTATTGATCATGTGATCAATATTTGCTAATCGATCAAGTGATTGATAAGCTACTGAAATAATTACCTGCACGTAGAGTTATGAAGCAATGTTCGATCAAATTATTGATAAATGACTGATCGATAAGGTGATCGATAAATGGTGACTAAAGCAAAACATAGAATAAGTAGAATGCATTACCATTTATCTGTTTTCCCATCGATAATCTATTTATCGATCATGTTATCGATAAATGCCTATCAGATTTGTGTCCTTTTATTTGACTGATGTTCGATTATAATGATTATCAATTAAGTGATCAATAATTTACTCCAGATTTTTATACATAACTAAGTTAACAATAATCGATCAATTGATCGATCACCACATTATCTAACAAGTTATCAATCAAAGTTTTTGCTAAGTTACTCCATTGTACAGGGATATTATTATCAACTTATCGATAAGTCCTTGATCGATTAGATGATCGATCAACATACTGAAATACAAATTTCTTACTTTGTTATCATCAAAACCTTAATCCTAACAAAGCATAGCTAAACAATTTTGAAAACAAGACGATCCGGCCGGTTCCTTCATGTGGAGGGAACTATTCACAACACTGCTTAGAATTTGTTCGGATTCGCAAAAGCCAATTAAAAAAAGCTCAAAAGCTAATTTTGAGGGAAAATGTTAAATCTGATCGAAGTCACAGTTTTGGGTCGCAAAAACCAAATAGGTATTCAAACTGACTTTTTACGAAAACATAAATTACATTCCACGCTACCTGGCTTTTGCCTTGTTATTGACACGAAAAGTTGCATAAGTGGTGCATGTTTTATAGTGTTCATTTGACAAAATGCTTTAGAATCAGAGTAAAATTAAAGTCAATTATGCAAACCTTAATCCAAACAAGCCCAGTGGTTTTATTTCTAAGTCCAAACGGATACTGTCCATGAACTGGCATCACCACTCACTTGACATGTCTGTAAGGTGATCTTATTGAATGTTCACAACAAACATAGACTTGCAAAGTTATTAATTTGAAGAAATTGTTGAAGAACATTGGTGGAAGGCAAGTTATTATAAACGGCATGCCAATCAGCTTGCGTTGGATGCACTAAATCCCAGAAAAAAAGCCGACTTAGGATCGTCGCACATTCTGTATTTCTTGGCGAGGGTCTTGTCGTCCATGCTTCCACAATTGTACTGTCTGCCCATCCCAACGCAACAAGGCTTGAACGGGTTCTTTATGTTATAAGCGGAGCGATGGTTCAGTACGGACATGAAACTGTCGAAGAGGCCTAAAACGACAAAGCTGGAATTGCCGCTGGCTTCTTCCTTCAATTTGGCCAGACCTTGGCTTAAGAAGGTATTGTAGTGATTGGCGAAGGTGTTATAAGTAGAGTTGCACAACGAAAATGAGGATGAAGCTGTCGTTTTCAGGAGGCGGCCTACAGCTGGTTGAAGACCACTCATTGCAATTTTCTTCACCAAATTTTATATACATATTTTTTTTTTCATTGGTGTCGAGTTAACACCAAATTTTAAGAGAGAAAGCAAGAGCCTAGGTTGGAATTTTCAGCCATGCCATCGAACATCTCCTTCTCCACCCATCAATCCTCCTTTGTGTTTCTCCACCCTAATATGTTCATCTTCTAACATGCATAACTCTTCACTCTTTCTTGGCCTTGTCCTGTTGTATCTCTCAACCTTGCATAGTATTATCAATAATGTCACTGCAACAAATAAGCTCCCAAAAGGTTTCAGCATTGATCTCATTCATCGTGACTCGCCATTGTCACCTTTGTACAACTCCTCAATGACCCACTGGGAGGGAGTTCAAAATGCTGCATTGTGTTCCGTGGCTGGAGTCAATCGTTTTCGCCAATCTTCTTCCAAAAATGCAGCTAAAATAAGCGAGCAACTGGCTCTAACTGATATAATCCCAGACAATGGAAGCTATGCCTGCCAATAGAAAGACGGAGTGTTGGAGACACAGGAAGCAACCTGATCTGGGTCCAATGCTCACCTTGTCCTCAATGCTACCATCAAGATGTCTCATTGTTTGATCCCACAAAATCTTTTACTTACAGGTCTGAGTCTTGCGGCTCGAGAAATTGTGCTCTTCTTCCTCAGCGTCAACATAAATGAGGAAACTCAAATTAGTGTTTTTACCTGTACTTATATGGAGATCAGTCTTACACGGTGGGAGATTTGGCTACAGATTCAGTCGATTTTGGTACTAGTGATGGCCAATCTGTTTTGTTCCCTAAGTGTTTGGATGTGGACATAACAATCTTGGAAAGTTCAATAGGCACATGGCAGGACTTGTTGGACTAGGTAATGGTCCTTTGTCCCTAATTTCACAACTTGGTAATCAGATTGGTCGCCAATTTTCCTACTGTTTGCCTCCTTTCAACGCTAAGGCTGCGACTAAGTTGAGATTTGGAGAGGAAGCCGAGATATCAGCAAATGGGGTTGTGTCCACTTCCATGGTCACGAATCCTAATAATCCCGCCTTTTATTATCTCAATCTTGAAGGTATACATATCTGTTTTACTTTGAGATTAATGTTGCTCTCTCTTGTGTATTTTCGTTTTAAAGTTTTGAACTTGCGAATTCAAATGATTCTCGAAATAGGATAATAAAATGGGACAACTCAGTACTTTAAATATTTTGTACGAAACGTTCCAGTGCTATTATATATGAGTCTTTATTTTGGAGGCTGAATTATCCATGTAAATGGTCATTGACAGGTATCACCGTTGGCCAACAGACAGTGCAGATTGATGAAAGCAATAGAAACATAATAATTGATTCTGGTACGACATTGACATGTCTTCAATCAAGCATCTATGAGCAGGTTGAAATTTTGGTGAAGAAAGCCATTGGAGTCGACCAGTGGATAGTGCAAAACTCTCAATTAAATCTGTGTTACACCAATGTCAACTCTATCAAGAATGTTCCAAACTTTGAGGTTGATTTTAAAGGAGCCAACATTTCCTTAAAACCTCAGCACTTGTTCCTTCTCGTATCCAACGATGTGATATGCCTTGCAATGTCTCCCACAGATGGAGATTCCATTTATGGAATTGGAAACGTAGCTCAGATTGACTTTGACATGGGGTATGATCTTGATCAGAAAAAAGTTTCTTTTGCTCGCGCCGATTGTACTAAACAGTAGAGACTTTTAAGTACGCACAGGCAATCTATAGGGTATTTGCTGCTCCTTAAATTTTTCTTCCTTTCCAAATGTTTTTTCTTGCTTCTTTTTATCGTTAGATTTTATATAAAATGAGTAAAATTTTGATATCTTATGAGCAAAAAATGGTGCAATAGTTTTAATTTTTTTTTTATGATTTCTTAAAAATTTTATATATAAATTAAAAAAAAAACACAATTTTCAAGTAATTTTTTCTTTAAAAAATCATAGAAAAACTTAAAACTGCACGGATTATTTTCTGATAATATATCAAAGTTCATTATTTTATATAGAATATAATAATGAAAAGAAACAAAAAAATAACATTTGGAAGATGGAAGAATATTAGAGGGTAGCAGAAGGGACCCCAAATCCACAATATACATATAGTTTATTATATATACTTGACGGATAATATATTGTCTTAATATGGACCTATGGACTATGGGCAACCTATGGGGAAGGGACCACGCTTATGAGAAATCTTACAAAGGTGGCCTAGAGTTAAGCAAGTTGAATTATGGTTGATCGGGTAAAAAGAATAAAGACAAAAACAAAATTCAATATTAAAGGCAACCTAGAGTTACTAATCCCTTCCTAGTTTCATAGAGTATTGCTTTTAACTAATTAGTCTCAATGTTAATATAGTTAATCTAGAGCATTTATAGCTAAAAGTGTTTTTCAATCCACTTATAACCCTCTCCTAAGTAATAAGGTTATGTCTAACTCAAATACTTAAGAAGATAAATTAATTTCACTCTTTATAAATTATATGGGGCTCCTAGGTATATTTCTATCCTACTCACATATCAGATAAAAATCTAATCCCATATTACTCAAGTCTAGAGCCTAATTAAGATTTCATTTGTCAAAGTTAACCTTAATGCTCAAACTCATATTTAATTGTAGCCAAACATATATCAAACCAGGATTAAGTAACCAAAATTAACATCAAAAGCATAATTAATTAAAGGGAAAACTATGTTCTAAGTCCTTATAGTTTCAATCAAATTTGGTCAAGGTCCCTGTAATTTATTTTTTAGGATATGGGTCCTTAGAATTTCAGTCAAACTTGGTCAAAGTCCTTCTATTAACTGATATAACTTGATAGCGTTAAACATGATTATGTGGCAAATGGTTTAATGAGTTGGCAATTTTTTATGATGACTAGACATTAAAAAAAAAGGAAAAGAAAAAAAAAAAACTAGTGCCAGCTCATGATTTTGGGGAATGGCCACCGCCTACTGATGCTTTTCTTCTTGCATTCTTCATCTTTCCTTCCTTCTAGATCTGAGTTTTAGTCTTTTAGATCAATCATCAAAATAGGATGCCCGTGCCTAATTAAAGCAGACCATTCCATGATGAGGGTCCAAACCAGGGCCATTTTCATGCCTTGTTCCTCCTCATTCTACCATGTTCTGCAGTCATCGTGGGTTTCGTTCACTCTCTAGTCACTGTTCCTTCTCTTCCACTTCTAGTCACCATGGGTCACCATTGATCATCTGTCACTACCATAGGTATGTGTTGGCACTCTTCTGTTAACTGTGTTTCAACTTTTGCTGTTCAAAACATCGTTTCAACAGCTTGTGCGTGAGCAAAACTTAGAATCTTCTCCCTCTCCCTCTCGCGCTCTTCTCTGCTCCACTTCCTACCTCTGTCTTTCTCTTTCTTTTCTTTCGTTGCCTTCTCTCGCTTTTGCAGAGGCCAAACAATGGTCACCATGGTTAGGCATGATCTATACATCATGATTTTGAGCTTCTTCCGGTATCCTATACCCCTCGGTATCAAGAAATCTCTGGTGAGTCTCTGCACCAATGTTACCTATGACCGTTACAGCATCCAACTCTGGCTTGACAACGACAATAACAACTACCCAGCCACCATGCAGGTTTGCAAGCAAAAGAATTTGTTCTTAACTATACAGGGGCTTAGCCAGATCTTGTCTGACTCAGTAAGCAACCGAGTTGAATCGGCCAATTCTCTGGCCACTAGAACAATCCTCTCCCCTAATCACACCGTCAACTCTATGAAATACTTGGATGGCCAAGGCGAGGACTGTCTCAATTCCTTAACAAGAATTGTATATTTCGCCAAAGAATCTGAAGAGAATCGTGAATTCCTCGTGATATTAGATGGATTTGTGGCTTTACTTGTTGATTTACTCGATAAGGTCAATGGCATCGTTGAAATGCTCGAGAGAGTCATTAATGCTTTGGATGCAATTCTAGATAAAATCAAAGATCGTGAGCAGTTAAGAAATTTTTTTTGTGGTAAATTGAGCAGTTGAAGAAATTGATGTTGAAGAACCATGACAATTGCTTAGCCTCCCTGCTCCTTCTTCTGCAATAAGGCAATGTTGGTGCGAAAATGGGATTGGCGAGGATTCTGAAGTTCATCATGGTGGATGCCGAATCCAAAGTCATTATCACCAAAAAGGAAGGTCAAATGTCTGAATAGCTCAGATCTAGAAGGAAGGCAGGATGAAGAACGCAAGAAGAAGAGGATCTATAGGCAGTGGACATTCCTCAAAATCGTGAGCTGGCACTAGTTTTTTTCTTTTCTTTTTCTTTCATGTCCAGTCATCATAAAAAAAATTGCCAATTCATTAAACCATTTGCCACATAATCATTTTTAACACTGTCAATTTATATTAGCTAACAGAAGGACTTTGACCAAGTTTGACTGAAATTACAAGGACCCATATCCTAAAAAATAAATTATAGGGACCTTGACCAAATTTGACTGAAACTATAAGGACTTAGAACATAGTTTTCCCTTAATTAAATGAAAACAAAGTCTAATTCATAAATAACTTCATAGCTACTCTAAGTCTAGAAGAAAATTAGCCACACATGACTGAAATAGAACTCATAAAAAATAAAATAAAATTCAGTCCAAACAGAAAAACAAAGGAAGACTAAGAACAAAAGAGATAGCAAATCTGCCGATCTCAAAGAAAGAACTTGCTGCTGTCAGAGAAATCATCGTCAGACGTCGTCCTCTGTTGTCACTAGAAAGAGAATTGCCACATCTGCTTGCTACCTCCACTCTGTTCGTCCAAATTCCTTGCCACCTGTCACAGTGGAATGGAGATTTACAAATGGATTCAACATTGCTCTCTACTCGCCACTTTTCTTCCCCCATTCGCCGTATCCCCAGTTCCTATTTATAATGGTTGCGTCTTCTCTCCCTTGAATCCCTTGAATCCACCGCCTCTTATCCATATATCTCCTTCAATACAATATATTATATTATATCATGATGATTTGCCTTACTTCACATAACTCCACGCTTCTGATCCTCTTAATATATCTACACACACACACATTATATTTATTGCAATTGTTGCTCCCCTTTTGTTTTATATTTTATTTGTGATATTTCCTTCTCTCAATAATTTTATGTCTCCTGCATTGAAAATAATAAAAGATTTGAGTAAATTTTATGCAAGATCATCTTTTATCCTATAATTAATTGAAAAGAAGAAAAATTAATAAAAGATGGTTAAATAGGTATAAATTATCCACAAATTTTACTAGATATGTTTTCCATGTCATAATGTTTGTTTTCTATTCGACTTCTAAAAATAAAACATTACAAAAAAAATTATATAGAAAGCTCAATTATATAATGTAAAAAATGGGTACAAATAATATTGTAAGAAAAATCATTACAAAAATACTATATAATGGTTTTATGAATTATTTTATTGGAAAAAGAGATTTTGTTGACATAACACTCTAATTTAAGAGAGAAAAATCACTATAAAAAATAATTACTACCTCCGATTCTTAAAACAAAAGCTAGTTGACTAATTTAAGTAGATTAAAAATTAATTAAGTTAGTTATTTGTAATAAATAAGTATTCTCTTTCCTAAAATATGCTTGTTAATCAAGTATATTGATTAGAACTATTATTATTACAAGGACTAACTTGAAAGAAAATGAATAAATATGAGAGACAAAGTATATTGGAGTATTATATTTAGGATCAAAATAAAAATCAAACAAAGTCTTATATTAAAAACTGGAGGTAGTATTATTAATAAGTAAATTAAATAATTTAATAATAATTATCAAAAAGTAATTTTTTTAAAAAAAATCCCGGGACGAGATGACCTCATCTGTCTTCTTGTCTTGTCCCAGTTATTATTTCATCCCACCTTGTCCTGATTACTGTTCCATCCCCTCTCAAAATTTTTTTCGTCCCGTCCTAAATTAACAAAGACCGAGAGAGAACAGTTAGAACGGGACAAGTTGAATACCTTTACTTCTAGTGATATTAGTTACTAATAAATATACTTCAAGAAAATACAATCACTTGACATTTTAAGTTGCTAATTTCCATCATATGAGTTGACTTTTCAATATATCATAATAACTTCGTGCTTGTATTTTCCTTTCTAACTCTAATTTCCTTCTACGCTTCCAGGCTCGTTAAAATTACCTAGATATTTGATTTAATGGTGACAATAAAATCAATATTAAGCACACAAGAAATAAATATACTTCATTTAAAGTCTTCATCTTATAAGTTTCTTTTCCATTTCTAAATATAAGACTCATTTTATAATGTAATTTATACTATAAAATGAATACTAATTTCTGTTATCTCATCGTGACTTTAAATATTTTTATAATAACTCAATACTTTTATTTACTTCTCTATATCTAAATTCTTTACTCACCTCCTAGTTCCTTAAAATTAGCCACAAATATATTTGATTTTTAGTGGTGGCTATAAAATCAACATTAAGTACACAAGAAATAAATATACCTAAAGAAAATATAATCACTCGAAGTCTTCATTGTATAATTTACCGATTTCTACGACGTGAGTTGACTTTTCAATCAATTAAACTACGTATTTGTATTTACTTTTTTAAATCTAATTTCTTTCTTCACCTCCTAGTTCATTAAGACTACCTGTACATATTTTATTTGATGGTGGCGATAAAATCAACGTTAAGCACACCAGAAAT